AGAGGCCCCGGGTCTGCAGAGAGTTGCCTTAGAAATACTCAGATCTCTTGTAGGAGCCAGAGGATTCCCTTAGCAGCCGCAGCCCTTTCCCAATAGCCCAAGGGAGTCACCTACAGCAGCCCTCAAAACAAAAGCCCAAAACCAAAAAAAAAGTCCTCAAACTCTGGCAGCCAAGGAGTCCCCATGGCAAACTCTAAGACCCCCTTCCCCTTCCCCCATAACACCCAGTTCTCCCGGAAGCCTGCAGGCTCCAGCCCCAGCTGGCCCAGCCTGCCCCGCAGCAGGATGCTCCACAGCGACTGTGAACCTGTGGGGGTCCTGCCCACCGAGCCCGGCTTCTTATCAGCCCCGGGGTGTCCGTACTTCTCCCTGGCAGTCAGGGAGCCCTCCCTGTTACTGTCTTGTATTGGTGACCTTTAGGAACTCTCCCATAGTTAAACCCTGACTCTAGCAATGACTGCTTCAGGGTGTTGCTCTCCCATAATGCCCCCCAAAATCACCTTAGAATCATAGGATCATTTAGATTGGAAAAGACCTTTAAGATCATCTGTGCAGCCCTCCCCAGCACACCCAATGGAGAACATGGAAATATGCCCATTTCTATGCGAGTCCCATCCAGTTATAAGCCTGTGCCCCTCAGGGCTCACTTGGCCACCCCTGATAGTGTAGGCGTATGGGAGAGCTGGTTCCATAAAAGCCCTGTGCAAATCCCCTGCCAGCATCCTGCTCATTTTATAATAAAGATGGACTTACCTTTTTTACTGGTACCCTGGTGGAACAGTGGCCCAGACTGGGGTGGGCTGCCCCGGGAAGACTGCTTCCCACTGTGACTTCCTTTTGTGATCCCTAATCTCTCATTCTTTCTCTGCAGTTTGCCTCCGGATCCAGATCAACCCCCAGAACAAAGGCGAGTTTCAAGGCATTTCACCGGAGCGGGCATTTGCCGATTTCCTCTTTGCCAACACCATTCTCCATCTTGTCGTCATCAATTTTGTTGGCTGAGCTCTGGAAGAGATTGTGAGGTACTGATTCATGGGGTTACAAAAGGGGCAACCACAGCTCAAACGACTTCAGTACTTTTGTAGAGTTGGGAGAGAATTGGACAGATGGTGAATCCAGGAGTCCTAGCTCCCAGCTTCGTCTTGGCCAAGTACAGTTAAGCTATTGTCCTCTAGGTTGATACATGGTTAAGATTTACGGCTTTCTGGTTTTGTGCATGTGTTGTTTGGCTTTTATAATTTAAAAGGCAGTTTGACTAGGAGTGTCGCAGAAACCTACCCACATTTCTCTCTTATGAGAGAAATACCCTGTTCTTCTTTGCAAGAGGGGCTTTGGGAGCTGGGACTCCTGGGCTCTGTTTGTGAGGGTTGTCCTGTTTGGAGGCCATGGTATAGCTGGTGTCCAAGCCTCAAGTTTCTCAGCAGATGAGAGGAGGGAGTTTGGGACAGGGAGAGTTTGGTGCTGAAAAGTGGAGGACATGCCATGTTGTCACTGTTGCAAAGGACCACAAGATCATGGGAGCTTGTGGGATATTTCCTCTCCCTTTGCAGAAACATTGTTCATGTTGCCTTTCTCTCTTTCCAGGTCTTGAATTGCTTTTGAGCTCTGAGGCCAAAGCCTGGCATTGGGAAGTGCAGTTCCCCAGCAGACCTACTTCCTTGGTGGAGGAAGGGGACGCAGGGCTCAAGATTTTTCCCCACAGACTGTCCTATGGAGGGGTCTGCTGCCTCGTTACAGTTACTGTAATCCTTCCCATCAATAAAACCTTTTATAATACTGCAGTCTTTTCCCTATTGGTGACAAATACAGGGGTTGTTCTGACACCCAAGTTCCCTCTCAGGCATGACTCCCTGTTTTTACCCCCTCCCTCCCTTTCTACCCAGCAGGCTTTTTTTCTGTGCCCCAGTTTTGGAGGGAAGCAGGAAACAAGTTGTCATGGAAACTCAGTTGTCATCCACCCTCTTCATCTCCCTGTTTCCTGCCTCTTTATCTTATGGAGAGTATATTGCCAATGTGCCCCCAGGCTTCAAAGCTGTGGAAAATTTGGGTTAGTCTGTGGTTAGCAGTCATGAACGGAAGGAAGCAGAGGGTGTCCTTCAGCACATCCCCAGGTGTACCCTCCTTCCCACAGGCCCTTCCATATCTCTCAAAGGCATGTGGGGCACAGCTGGATGTCCCAGCTGAACTTACAGGCTCACTGAGGCCTGGTAGTGATACAGCTGCCCTGCCACAGTGTTAGCTTTTCTTCAGCCTGATGTGCTGATAAACCCAAGGATGTTGGAGAGGGCTGGCAAGCTGTGTCAGTGCCTCAGACAGCTGCATTTGAGCTGTTCTGGGTCCATGGAGAAGTTCACCCCTCAGACTTAACCTCATTGAAAATCCTTTCCCCTCTAAAGCATTGTGAAATTCATAAACTCAATGGCTTTGGCCCTTGGCCATTGCCTCCACAAGCCCAGGCTAGCTCCTGCATTGAGGTCAAATGCTTCTTTGTCCCGATAGAAAATTAGAGCCCTGTGGTGATGGGCACAGGATAAGATATTAACCCCAGCTAGCCCCTCTACACCTTTGGCTGCAGAATTTACCTGGGTTGCCTTTATGCATGAGCCTCCATCCTTGTACTGATTGTGCTTCACGCTTGTCTGGTTTGCTCTGCAGCTGAAACACTGAGTAGGTAAAATGTGCATTGAGGCTATTTGACAAAGAAATGTTTGTCCGATAAAACATGGGGTCTGATAGCTTCAACCTCTCAGCATTGGATTATGGCTCCTGTTTACCGCCTTTTCACATTTAGCATTTGCTGGAAATGCTCCTGTGCTCCTGGGGCTCCTAAGTCTCTTGCCTAACATACGGCCTGAAGAGTGAGGTATGAGGGAGCAGGGTCTTCACTGTCTCAAAGGATGCTGTCTGGGTCTGCAGTAGGAACAGAGAATTCATGCCAGCTCTGACACCACCGCCTCCCTCCAGCCCCAGGCATTAAGCTGGGCTTGTTTACAGTGGTACCAGCCTTGTACGGCTGGGGAGCAGGCAGGGGTTGTAAATGAGCCACTGAGCTCTTCTTTCCCATTAGAAGGGCCCTCTCCCAGCCAGGCCCGTGGCAGACCGAGCCAGCGTGTTCACAGGAGGAGGAGCAGCTCAGGGTCTGCCCTTTGCCACTGCAGCTGCTGCTGTTCGCAGGCTGCGAGTGCCTCCCTGTGGGTCTGCGTGACTCGCTCGCCCCACGGTTTGGCTTTAGATAGAGCTCCAGGTGGGGACCCTCCTGTGGCCACTTCTGAGAACTGCAAGAGAGCCTGCGGAAAAGGAAAAACCGTAGGTTTTCTGTGGGGTTTCTTCTTTTTCCTGTTTTTTTACCAGCTTGCAATGCCTCTAGTTGCCATAAACCCAGCACTAGAATTCAGGTCCTATTAGAGTTAATCCCACATCCAAATAAGTTTCAACAAGTCTGTAGACATCTTCATGCTCTGCTCCTTATAAAAGCCATGCTCGCATCCCTGTTTGCACTGTAGAAGAGGGCAAGAAGAGAGGCTGCTTTGTGTACAGGGTCGTGTTTAATCAGAGATGGCAAATGTTGGGCCAGGGTGTTTTCTGCAACAAAACCCCTAGAAAAGATGCGAATTCATCTCCTGCCCATAGGTAAGTATTAGGGGGCAGGAGGTCACATAGGGGAGAGGGTGCTAGAGATGGACCATGGCAACATCTCCTTCCCTGCCAATGTGAGAGGACTCTCTGGCCTGCCCCATCTTCCTCCCTCACCTTTTGGGTCAGGAGAAGTGAAACGATTTTTCTGCACGGATTCACTGCCTGTATAACAGGGTGCAGAGGCCTATCGGCAAATTCAGAAAATTTACACACTTCTAAGATCTCTCTCCGCCACCCACCACACTTTATAACATGTTTTCTCCCCTCCTTTCCCCTGCCTATGCTATACATAGCTCAGTCTTTCCTGCTGTACCCAAAACAGCTCCCCCCAGGCCCAAGAGCAGGCTGCGGTGAAAGAGCGGGAAGGGAGGGTGTCTTAACCTCATTTGACTTCGGCTTGTGGTCTAACGTCTGCTGTTCTTTTCCACACGCTTCTTCTCCTCCCCGCCACGTGCCACACCAGCCCTGCTCCCCCCACCCCCTGTTTTGCGCTCCACTTTCCAGAGGAAGCGGTTTCTGCGGTAGGGTGTAGAGAAACATCAAAAGGTGACCCAGATCCTGATTGTGGCGTCATGGAACTGGTGGTGTGTCCTCTTCCTGCCCCACCTGGCCATGAGACCCCTTCCACATCCTGTCCTCTGTGTTATTTCCTGCCTTTGCTTTGCACTATGGTTTTTCTTTCTCGAAATAAACAAGAAAGCGCAAAGGGGGGCCGGGGGGCACACTGTGGTGGTGGGAGATTGAAAGCCTAATATCTGCAAGTATCTTTGAACTAGACCTACAAATGCAGTGTTTTGCAGATCACATGCTAAGAGTCACTTTAGTCAAAACATTTAACTTTATCTGTACACTCGTCCCCTCACTTGGCAAATCTTATCATTGGGGTCATTTAACCTGGAAAAGACTGAGATGTGGAAACAGAGGCAACACACTGTTCTTCCTTCTTGACCATACTGCTAGGAATGGGTTTGAAGTGCAGCACAAAAAACTTAAGATGGATATTAATTTTAAAAAGTGATGTTAAAGGTAAATGAGACTGGAAACTTTTCTTCCACATCCCTGAAGCTTTCTGGAATGAGGCTAATCAGTTGGACATCTGCGAAATGCAATGACTTGCTTTGTAGTTCAAATATGGTTTAGGCAGCTTCATCAAGCTTCATCTGTGATGTGGCAGACCTCATCATGAGCACAATGTAAGCTTCACGAGCTGCCTGGAATCTAGCATGTAAAGAGCCATGGGCTTTCTACAGTTGGAGAGAAATGAGAGTGACTGTTGTGTCAATGGAGAGACAAGAGAATGAATCCCTGAACATCTGTACTGTAAAATAATCAGTGTAATAGACCCGGAAAGTTTGAAGTTGTTCCTAGGCAGGAGGGGTCAGTAACTCTCTGTCACCCAGTGACAGGCCACCTGCCAAACAGTCAGGTGTGGCACCATGGCAGGAGACCAGGGAGACTTCGTTGTGTTGCTGCTCAGCACTGCGGAGTCAGATCCTGTGGCAGGGATGCTGGCATGGTCTTCACACAGGGACCCTCTCCCACATGAAGCATCAGGGGTTTTGGCTAAAAGCATTTGAAGCATGAGCCTTTCCAAAATCAGAGTTCCTTGCAATGGCTGTGAATCCAGCAGGGTGAGAAATGTCCCGTGAGGGGGAATCAGCCCCACCAGTCTGGCAAGGCTTTCCCTGCCACTCAGTTTGGGCACTGGTGTGAGCTACAAGCAAGGTTCAAGCTTTGCAGGGAGAGTGTGTTTCTTTCAGAGCACCCTTCTCATTTCTCCCTCCAGAGGAATATCTGGTGCTTCAGAAGAAGATGGAGAAGTCGATGGCACAAAAGGAGAAAATTCCCTTTCCACTCTTGCCAGTGACAGACTGAACCTGGAGACACAGGCAGGTCAGTTGGTGTCATTAATGCAAAGCAGGTACCTTGTTCTCCAGTGACGCCTGGAGTGGGAGACGTTTAGAGGCAGTACACCTCAGGCTCCTGTGTTCCCCATAGCAGTAGACATCTGCCTTCAAGAACCTGGACCGCTTACTAGTCCTCTCACTGTGGACAAGCTGTATTTTACCATTGTCTTCACATAGCACAGAGTCTACTCTTGGAGGAGAGGTGCTCTCCTCCGTTCCCTTCCCTCCAAGCCAGCCATACTGTTCTCACCCAGACACAGCAAGGATGCTCTGGAAAGGGACTTTGTAGCTGTTCCCCCCCACAGTGGATCCAGCCAGTTATAGTAAACAGCGACTGGTGGCCAAGTCAGGCTGAAGAGGAGAGTCTGGACATCCGTTCCCTCCTTCATCCCAAAGGCCAGGCTTATTCCTAAAGCTCATCAGAAGGGTAAAACAAGTTCCTCAAACTACAGATACAAAAGACAAAAAGTTTGTTACTTTTGATAACAACTGTTTAATAGCAGCCAAAGGCCTAAAGAAATGCCAAGACATCAGTGTGGCGGCCAGTACAATTCAAGAATTTCACATGCATGTGCTGTTTCCAAGGAGTGCACACATGGACACGTAAATATTTCAGTACAGTTTTATGCAATGAATATAAAAACAAATTAGGAAATCTAAGGTTGTTAGAACTAAACAAAAAGAACAAAAGTAGTTTGTATTTTTACTAAACACAAAGCCAAATCTTAAGCTGGTTTAAATTCAGAAAATGTAAAGGCCAGATAGACTTTAAAAGATAATGAAGTGAGAATTTTGCTGAATTCAGGACTTCTGGGAGACCTAGCAGCATATCTTTTATGGGAAAAAAAAAGATACCTTGCTCTGATCTAGCAAATGATAGCAGGACATGGTGCACAGCACCCTGAATAAGCCTCCCTTTGCTTTTCAGTGTTTCATTTGCAACTGAAATGGTGTCTGTGGGGGTGCACTCTTAAGACGTGCATACCTGAAAGTTACCAAAAAATGAAAAATTCACATCCAAGTGATATTTAGGTTGCAGTTTTCAACAAACAACGCCGCCTCAAGCAGAAATTTTGTGTCATTTTAACGCAAGTAATAGTGATGTTTGGCAGTTTATAGTTATAGCAAACTATGCTTCATGCAAAAAGAGGCATTATCACGCTAAATGAATCTGGGGGAGAAGAATGCTGAAAATGTTAAGCTTCTTTTTGAGTAGCTTTATAGCAATGCAAATAAAGCAATTTAGACTATAATGGCTGGCTCAATATAGAGACACGAAGTGATATCCCTTGCAACAAAATTCCTCTTGCACACGATGCTCTGGTAAAGATCCCTCAGCAGAGTTTTCTGGTACTTCAAGACTGCACCATCTAGTTATTTTCATTCCTGTAACAAAAATAAAGTATGTTAAGTCATTATTTGGGATACAGTTGTCGCTACACAATTGTAGACCTGAAGTGTCTAGGCAATAAAAAGAGAAGAAATAGACACTGGGCCAAAACTAATATATTAGGTCTGAGGTCTTAAAGTCAATAAGCATCAGACTTTTTCAGATGGAGACTGATCAGGGGGTGAATCTGATGGATGAATGCAGACGAGGGAAGGGATGGATGTAGAAATAGAAGGGAGAGATGTCTAGGAAGAAAAAAAGTAAAATTTGCATGTGGATAAGGAAAGCAAACAGACTTGAGGGGCAGGTGAGAACAATGATATGGCCAAAGGAGTGGAGGGATTTTACTGTCAGTAGACAAAAGGTGTATGGATAGACTGCGTAATCGGTTACTGCAGAGAGAAGGAACATTCATAGCTAATGAATTGATCCAGGTGTTTTCTGTTGGAGGTTTTACCACCCTCCATGCATACTCACTTTTTTTTCCACATAAGCATCGTCATCAGCACATTAAAAATTATTCCTTTCATTAAAATTATTTTCAGGCCCAGCTGTGATAAAGACAGCATGTTCAGGTTTTCATCTGTAAAAGTAACAGAGAAAGAAAGTCACAAGAGCACTGAGACATCCTTGCTTCCAGACAGACTTAGCACTTCTTAATGAAGCTGTTCCACTTTATGTGATTGAGTCAGCTAGGAGGATAGCTAATGGGACAGTGAGCAGGACTGTCTCACTGAGAGACTTTCATTTCTTCCAGTTGGTGTGTCAAGGGCTGGATTTTCATTCAATAACCACTTAATTATCCAATATGCAAGTCTGCCAACCATCTAGCTGTTTTTAAATACACTGTATTATGAACGCAGGATGCTGGAGGTGTCCCTTCTTCCTCTCCCTAGAATTTTTTAGGGCGGATAGAGGGAAAACAAGTTAAATTTTATTCAAAGAACACGAAGTCTATTTGGATTTTCTATCAATCTTAAGTTACAAAATCATTTTAATTTGAAAATGCGTTGATCTATATTGGGGAAGCAGGGAGCTTTCATCAAAAAGTCATTTTATGTTTATCTTTGAAAACCTCTCTCTGAAATGACTGATCAAATCAGCCAAGTTTACCGATGAGTATTTTTCCGAAGTGGTGTTTTGGAAACATTTGGCTAACTGGTTTCTTTTCAGCAAGGCTACACGTTTGCAAAAGTTACAGCTATTCTGCAAACGGCAAGTGCAGAGGCAGGCTCGGCTCCTTTGAAGTAGCAGGAACAGCAACTGCTTGGGCTGCAGCACTGGCTAGTATACTGCCATAGCCATGAGCTGAAGCAAAGCTTGCTCAGACACCCTGTATCTTTAGTGCAACCCTGCTTCTGAGCACACACTGCAGAAACCACCTGCTTATCTTTTGGTTCATTAGATGTTTGTGCACCCAAAAATAAAAACAACTCTTTTGAAGTCTGAAATGCAGACAGTAAGGCTGACTCATATTGGTACCTTAAATCATTATGTGATGGGGAGTAGTTGTTTGGCTAGTCCTAGCAGGAGCATGTAGGCACTGGCTACACTGGTCACATAAAATTACCAGCTCAGATCTGGAAGACTACGTTAACCCAGTGAGTTCCAGCTTTGATGTTTAAAGCCTCTGGGGCCCTTTTGGAAATTTCCAGTCTGAGCTTTTTGCTCCAGCGGGAATTCTGCAAATGGGGAACATTAGCAAAAACTTGGGAAGACATTTCCTTTAATCAGGCCAAGCTTTACTCCTAAAATGCTATGTACCTACCTGTCCTGAAGTGTAGAGACACCCCTGTAACACAGACAGTGCTGGCACCTGCAGATAGTAACAATAAATTTAATTAATAACAGAAATGTAATTCTTCAGATGTTCATAAAGGTATCTCTACTTAGAATGGCTGGATTAGAGTTTCAGGCCCATAAATCCTCCCATAAACACTCCTTTCAGCTGTTTTCAGGGCAAGCATAAAATATGATGTAACTAAACTTTAGTGTCCCATCAGATAAAGGAATTTCAAGCTTTGTATCCCCCACAATGTGATTTTAAGATCTCTCTGCTGTGACTGTACCAGTCTACTGACCCTTAATCTTGTTTCTACCAAGGAGGAAGGCAAACCAAAACAGAGGCAATAAGGCAACATTCCTCTGGGGTGTGGGAGCATAATTCAGCATTGCTTGCAGGGTTGGGAGATGTGAACAAGTCTGGCTCATACTGATAGCACAGACACTACAGTACCCCTAGCCCTGTATACACATCCAACAATGCCATTACCACTTTCAGGATCCTCGCTCTCCAGTTCTCCAAAGCCCTCGTGATGTGCACCACAATGCATTTCATCTTTCCTGGCCCAGTAGGTTGTCAGGTAGCTTGCTTCCTGTTTGTTCTCAGATGTTGCCACCTCCACAACAGCATTTGTCTGCTTTTCAGCCGAGGTAACAGTGAGGTTTTCGGGGGAGTAATCTGTGATAAGGCACATTTCCAAATCTTCATCATCTTTAGAGATCAGCCTGTAGACTGAAGGAGATGGAGTAACATCTGAAAATGGAGAAGAGACATTAGATGACAGTACACCATCATAGTTCCTTTAATCTTAACATACAGACAGTTAGGTATGGAGGTTTTTCCATGATTCCAGTGGGAAGTTGCCTGACCATAGGGATCTTGTGCTAGGACGCAACAGAGGATGCAGGACCTACATGAGACTTACGTTCACTTATGTTAACTAACGTTGTATGAGAGACACAGGGAGTGGTCAGGCAGGATCCTTAGAGCATCTTAAATGATACTCATGTGGGCATCCACACCCTAGATGTCCATATCTAGTAATTTCTCTCTGTAACAACTCATTCAACTCTACTCTGCAGCCTGGGCTTGCTTTTGGATCTTGGTCTGGATGCATTCAGGAATGTGTAACAGGCAGAGAAAGCACTCTCCTCTTGCTTCACTGCTAGGAGATGTAATGTGTCTGTAGAGAACTGAGCAGCCCAGGGGCATTCTGCCTTTTCTGCAAATATGTAGTCAAATCCACCACTGACATTCAAAATCCCACTTCCTCCACCTGTCCTAAGGGACAGTGGATAAACTACTAAGTCTTAAGGGTGTCCGCATTTACCACCAGTCTAGCTAATTGCGTTCCTATAGGAGAAAGCTAGGAAAGCCCCTGCAAAGTAGGGTGCATTTAGGAAAAAAAGATGAAACAAACAAATATTTCATTATGTTCCACCACCTGACAGTGCAGTGCAAGATTTTTTTACTAAATTTTACCCTGCAGAAGAGGGGTTTGGGGAACTAAAGGCTGCAGATATAAGACACCTGGGGTTTATTTCTGTTTTCTTGCTTCAAAATCTGCTAGCAAGTCAGTTAGACTAGGATTTTCCACACATATCAAAACACTACCTGTGGTTAAACTCTTTTTTGCACATTTAGCTCTGCAAACTTGCACTCATTCCTTGAGAAGGTGCTTTCCTAAATCTTTGTTCATGCATAATAGTAAAATGTTATGGGCATTGGAGTACTTTAATGATGAACAGGTGAACTATCATTAAAGACGTACGGTAGCCAAGATGCAGATTTGGGGCTCTCAGCAACCTTCTGGCTGCATTTTTCATTGGACTTCACAATCACAGGTTTGAAGCAGAGCTTAATTTCACATTTATAAACTGACAAAGTGTTACTGTGTATGGTTGAGAGTCTAGATTAATATTTACTTTGTCCCTGTTCACACAACACACTGATAAATATTGTTAGAAATACTAAAGACAGTTTAGCTCCCAGATGAAGATGTTTTAATTTCTTCCTATGGGGGAAGTTTGGACTAAATCTTGGCTTTTAGAAACTGTCTCAAAACCTTATACAAGTGCAGACCCTAGTTCTATCACTCATATAAATGCTTTCATCTATTCAATTGCCAGTTGTCAGCACTTTAGAGAAATAGCCATACTTCTTTATTAGTACCATCTCAGAAAAACCGTAATCCACAAAGCCTAATGATTCATTCTCTGGTCCTTCTCCTGTATCGCTGTCCATCTATCCCAGCTTTGCCCTAGCTTTGAAAAACCTGATGAGACTGTCTCTTTCCCGACTACACAGAATACCGTCTAATATATGTCCTGACTCCCTCAGCCCCACTCCCCACCTCCCGTACTCCCAGTAGTTGCTTTGGAAATACATGTCAGTGATTGTTTGTTAGGGAGAGCAAGACAGGAGCAGATAAAAAGCTTGATGGTAGATCTCTGTATAAAATACAGATGAACCAGGGTACATCATTGTTATGCAGTACATGGATACGAAAGAGGAGGAATTGATCAAGCTGTTCTGCTTCTCTCTCATAATGCGTACTATGCTTTCTGAAGACCTACATATCCACCTCTCTCCAAATTAGGGTGTTTTTCTCCCTTTCAGTCTGTGCAATGCTTTTATCTTGAGCAGATAAAAAAAAAAAAAGGTCTGTTTTTTGCAGTCAGCTTCATCAGCACCTGTTTTGCAAAATACTCATTTCTCATTCTTGCTCAGAGTGGCTGCTAGCTTTGTACTAGAGTCTTTTTCCGATAAGTTCCTTTGCATATTTGCACACTGTTATGAAAGTTTGCAGATAGCAGTCTCGGTAAATATCAGCTATTATAGCCACAGCGCTGTGACCTATGTTTCCTGTTATTCTGTCTTAATGAGTTGGCGGATGTGTTGAAGATGCTGTATTGATATTTATGACCTGTATTTGCAGGAAAGATTGAGAAGTAAATCATGATACTCTGAGCTGTCCACCCTGCCTAATTTCATCTTTACTGAAGGATATCTTCCAGGTGGAAGAATAAGAACTGTTGGAATGCTATTCCTGACCAGTCTACAGAGAAAGCCAACTCCAGAGGCTGGTTTCAGGGAGAAAGCAATAGAAATCTCTTCCAACATCAGACTAAGACCCATGCCTTTTTTTCCAAACAAGCTGCATTAGAAATCCTGAACTTGTTTAACACACAGCTTGTATTATACAGAGATTTATTGGATTCTCCATTCCCTCCAAAGCAAACTCTCTGAATCTCTGGTCAGACTGGAATTGGTGTGATAGAGGTCTTTGATCCTTTTACCATTCCTCAGCCTAAGACATGATATTCCACAGCTAGAGTCAACCTAGAGCTATCCCCCAACTCAGAGGAAATATATACACCCCCTCACACACTCATACAGGCTAATCTTGACCCCAGAGAAACAACTCCAGTGACTTAACAAGCATTTTAGTCATGTTTTCTGGCTGTCCTCCAGTGGAGGTTCCAAAAGGTCTACCAGAGGTCCTTTGTGAAATCTGCCAGCCCTGCATGGAAGCTGGGATGTCTACAGCAAGACTAGATGTCCACATTTAGCACCAGAACCCTTCCCTAGACTTCCAGTGCTCATGTCTGGAGGCACTCAGATAAAAGAAGCCAGGCCCTAGTCCATCATCAGCCAAGCCATACAAAGTACAAAGACTCTGTGCAGAGGTTCAGTATCTGCAAATGTGAATATGCTGCTTCAGTTACAGAGTTCAGACATAATTCTAGACTCCATCGCAAAAATGTGTTTGTCATTGCCTCTGTAATTACACTTGGGGAAGTCAAACTACCAAAACCATCCAAGATCTTTCTCACAAATCTTTAAAGGGAAAGATTTCTAGCTGAACCAAAACTAAAGCTGAATTAATAGAAGAAGATACCCAGTATGTGAGGAGAAATCAAGTGTAATGGACTAAATAGTTTTCTAGTACCAAAACAGGATAAATCCTGGCTTATAGCATGTGTTCACATTAAGGAAAAGTTGAGATTAAGTTTTCTTAAATTTCATATTGGGAAGCAATACCCTATTTGTGTTCATGTATAGATTTATTCATGCATCACCTAAACTGTGGGAGAGATTTACTATGATCTCCTCTGCTGCTTCTTTCAGCAATGTTAAGGAAAGGTTTCTGTGGGTCAGAAGGAGCAATTCTGCTTGTCTAATCCACTCTTTAAAGCTCACAGGTGAATGAGACCGCTTAACCCATCTATGTAAAATTGTCTGGAAACAAAAAGGCTTCAAGTGGCTGCTCATGAACCTCCTGACAACCTCTGTCATTTTCACAAAATACTTTTGCATGCTTTTTCTTCCAAAATCAGAGTGGGTTTTAATTGCCAGAACAAGTTTTCAATTTTATATGCCAGAGATTTAGTTTCTAGAAAGAAATGCACAGAATGATAAAATGGTTTGGGTTGGAAGGGTCCGTTGAAGGTCATCTAGTCCAACCCTCAATTCAAATAATTTCAACTCAAAAAAAAAGAAACTTTCTGAATAAGAGTTTAACTATTCATGTAGTGCCAGCCAAAAAAATCATATTTGTTTAATAAATAAGGAAAAAAAAAACATTCAAAAGAATCAACTTAATATCCCTTTCTAAAAACAGGTGGAAGATAATTTTTATGTTGATATCAAAAAGTCAGAACTTTTGATCATACACTTGTGGAATTGCCTCAGACGTAGATGTCTATTTCACACCAAAATGATACCCTTTCCTGATCAGTCTATTTAATGGGTACATTTCACTGGCTAACTTATTTGGGATCATAGCCTTGTGCCATTTCCAAACATTACTCTCCTAGCTCCAGTATCCTATGCACCCCAGTTTGAATCATTGCAAATACTATAGTCTAAGTCAACTGGGAAATTTCTTCACAATGCAGTGTGAAACTAAGACTTAAACATGAACCCAGAGGTATCTCTGATTTTTTTTTTCCCTCTCAGTCTAAGGCAAAACACTATTACTGTCTGACAGGACTCAGAAGTTAATGATATGGGAACATCATTAACCTAAGACTTTGATGATGCTCTCATTTCCCACTATTCCCAGTCTCCCTGCTCCATTTTCACAAGCACCCTGTTGAGAAATAATCCTGGGTTCATTTTCTTTCAGCCTTTTCTCCTCCCTCCACTCTTCATCTGTGTTCATTCTCCATAAAGGTAGACCTATTCAGAAACACTAACCAGTGGACACTGCTCCTGCCTTCATACCTTCATAGCCTGTCCTTCTCCAAATCTTACTCACCTGGGTTGGCTTTAAATCTAGTCCCTCTTCCAAACACAAATTTTCAGTTTCCAAACACTGTATCTTTCGGTTTCCCACTCAACAAGAAGCCTTTGCAATAAATTCCTGCCTACCAGCTGCATATTCCAGTGGCTCCTCAATCAAAATATGTGGGAAAGCTGTCTACCAGAGGATGATACACAAAGATATTTTAAATGTCATTCCATCTTTTCAGGTTTCTAAGGCATTTTAAAATATAACTGAGGAAAGGACACAGAGTTACTGTGCATCACAACAAGTTTGGTTCCCCTTCCAAATAAAATTTTTCTAGTTCCTGACGGCTCACACTGTGACATCAGTTTTTAGAAATATGGAAGGGAACTTTACTTTTGGATTTTAAAACCAAAACATCATTACATATTCTCTTAGGCTAAGAGTTAGAAAATCCAATCTCTAAGCTGTTAGTCAGCACAACCTCCATATATTAAAGATGCAAAAATCAAGTCTGAAAACTTTAATAGCCAGAAACTCTGTAAAAGTGCTGAACTTTTTATGTAGCATTTCAGCCATATGTGAACTGCTTGCAGCACTCTATGTGTAACTGCACCATGCCATGATTATTAAACCTGTGTAAATGTTACCATCTTCTCTAGCTGTTCTTTCTTGCAGTGGGTGACTGCCACGCTATGGCTAAGCACTCCTTGGATTCCAAAGCAGCATCTCTATTCCAACTGGTTTTTGTCAAGGGAAGCCAAAAAGAAGTTGGAACATGCTTCCATGAAAGTCCCTAGTCCATCTACCCAATGAACAAATGATTTGCCGCTCCTGCTGTTAATATGGAATAGAAAGCTCGAACTTACTTGGGGTAACAAGAAGTTGTGTCCCAGCTTCAAATGCAAGTTTCACGTATACCTGATTGACACACTGGTGTCAACCTCTACAAAAATGTAGACAGGTTTTCCCAATGCATACTGACAACCAGGTCAACAGACATTCCAGAGCAAGGAATAACTTAAGGGAGCAATGACGAAACACATTGATTTAAATCACTACCAAAGTAGCAAAGAAATCTACCAGAAAATTATCAGGATGAGAAACAGGGAGATCAAATAAAAAATGTTCATTCATTCACTGATTACAATTGTGTGTTACAACTTTCAGGGCAATACTAGGAACAATCTGTGTTTTTCCACCTGTAACATCACCTAAATTTTCTGTTCACTATGTCATGTAGTTAGGGCCACTGCCTTTCAGTCCAAGTTTTCTCCTGAATGTTTCACCATTTACTACCCACCTGGCTTGATCACCAGCAAGGTTTCTTTTCCTAATGTCAGCTTGTATTCTTCTCCACCCCCATAATTCACAGAACCCAGGAAATCTTTGCAAGAAGCCCTTTGATCTTCATTACAGTTATCTCCTTACAGGTTTCAGTGGCACATTGTGACCCTGTCTAGAACTTAGAGATTCACAGGCAGTTGCAAAGGCAATGTGAGCCTTCTAACTCTATTACTTCAAGATTCATATACTCTCACTTAGATATGCAGTAGCAGGAGTAAGCATCAACTACGGCCTTGTAGCTGCGACAGCTTGGCAAATCTGGACTCAGGTCCCAGTCGTGAACAGAATCTGCTTGCAATATTTGTGGATAAGACAGTATCTGTACAACAGACAAACCAGCTAAAAGGCAGTCCAATTCCCATTTCCAACACTAGTATTAAAAATATATAATTTATACTGTTCCTTGGTGGGATTCTGCTACAAGCAAAGATGGCTAAAAAGATGATAATCACCGTAAGTGGCTATTTTCTAAATCACAGAATGATAGAATGGATTGGGTTGGAAGGGACCTTTAAAACTCATCTAGTCCGATTCCCCTGTAATGAGCAGGGACATCTTCAACTAGATCAGGTTGCTCAGAGCCCCATCCTACCTGACCTTGAATGTTTCTAGGGATGGGATATCTACAGCCTCTCTGGGCACCCTGTTCCAGTGTTTCACCACTCTCATCATAAAAAAAAAAATCTTCCTTATATCTAGTCTGAACTACCCTCTTTTAGCTTAAAACCATTACCCCTTGTCCTATCACTAGAGACCCTACTAAAAAGTCTGTCCCCCATCTTTCTTATAAGCTCCCTTTAAGTATTGAAAGGCCAGAATAAGGTCTCCCCAGAGCCTTCTCCAGGCTAAACAACCCTAACTCTCTCAGCCTTTCCTCACAGGAGAGGTGTTCCATCCTTCTGATCATTTTTGTGACCCTCCTTTGGACCTGCTCCAACAGGTCCATGTCTTTCTTGTACTAAGGACCCCAGAACTGGATGCAGTACTCCAGGTGTCACCAGAGTGGAGCAGAGGGGGAGAAGCATCTCCCTCGACCTGCTGGCCACGCTTCTTTCTGTGCAGCCCAAGATACAGTTGGGCTTCTGGACTGTGAGTGCACGTTGCTGGTTCGTGTACAGCAATATAAATATTATAGCCATTTTTGTATTTCAATGCATTTCCATCTGACATACATCATCCATTACTTCGCTTGAGGCCAATGGAAGTGGCATGGATTTACCCTTAGGAGAGAACAAATCCACATGACTTACTTGACAGAAAAGCAAAACCAGGCTTTGTCTTCACAGGAATGCAATTGATGGAAGAGCACTGAAAGCACATGCCTGCCTGCAGCTGCCTCAGGGAAGACTGCTTGGACAGCTGCCATGGAATAAATTCCACTGGTTAAGGTGAGACCTCAGGCTACTATGCCTTTGACAGCTGCCATTTCCCAGATCTTGGTGTGTATCCACAACAATCTTGCAAATTAGGCAAAAAATCAGGATAAATGTACCTGGTGAAACAAGAATTCTCATCCCAGATACAAATGTGAGTTTGTAACTACTTCCATAGTCACACAATAGCACAGGCCTCTACAGTATCCAGAGTGGTATTGAATGGAAACTTCAACAATTAAATACTCCACTAAAAGAAATCCTATTTATCTCTATGATTAGACAGATCTGTCTATCTAGGACTTTTCTTCCGACTGACTTTCTTTTCATGTGGTGGTTTTGCACCTTTCAAACTCCCAAATGCCAGTTCCTTAATATTCCCCTCTATCATATTTATCCCATTGCTTCCAGAAAGCCATCTGCATCAGAAGTTTTCTTCATCTCATTCCTTGTTTATTTAGCCTGCCAGTCAGATTCCTCTCTCAAAAATCAGTTTATTTACTGTTTCTTCACAGCTCACCTAGTGACTGATGGTGTAGTACAAACTCCATCATCCCATTCTCTTGGATTTGCCATCTGAATTAGTCAAGAGCGATTCCAGAGCAAATTTGCCATTTAGCTTTTAAGTAGAAAGCACACTTTGTGGCATGCAGTTTCTTTGTGGCAGGGGGGGCCTGCCATTAAACACTGAGGTTTCAGTATGCATTTGGGAAGCTTTCAGGTTCTACAGTGTGACCAGAACAAGATCTGGAGTAGTTGCATGCAGACATGACCATAATGGTAAATTTGGGTACATGTAAATGAACTCAGGCAGAGCTCCTTTAGCTAGCTGATAGCTCCATATAAACTTGAGAATCTTATTTTTCTCGGATGTTTTTGAACAGGGCCAGGAGGGTCATTTGAAATATGAGGAATTTCCCCAGAGGTTTTCAGAATGAATGGTTTCATTATACTGATGTGTTTTTTAACTTTCAGAATAAAATTATTTTGAAATTATCTTAACAATCGCTACCATTTTAATAAATGGAAACATTACTTTTCAAGAGTAAGCCCAAAGCATTTAGATACTAAATGCTCCTAAAAGCATTCTTAAGAAATTTGGAAAAATTTACAAAAAAAATCTGTGTCTCAGGACCTGCCTTACTTTCTTTCCCTTTTCCAAAGAGTTTCAGACAAGAGAAGAAGTGTGGGGTTTTGGGGGGATATTTTCAGACCCCTGTGGCAGCAACTGTCAAAGCATGAATTTTTTCATGCTTTTTTGTTCAGAGAAAATTATTTTATGGCCAGGGTCAGCTTTCCATCTTTCCACAAAAGTCATTCAGTAACGAACTTGGCTTCTTGACTTCTTTCCCCTCTGTCTAAGTATCTATTCCACCTCTAGCTTTTAAGACTTGTCACACTGTTCTCCAGCAGTTTCAGAGCTTCACTTCTAATGTCCTCCAGGCTTCACATGGATGTTGAAGGCTAAGGTAATTTCACAGTACTCAACACTAGCTGGCTGTGATTACAAACTTAGTATCATTCTCAAAGGTAAGCTTACTTCCTGAGCTTCCAGTATTTATATAATGCTTCACAATATGACAGAAACCCACTCCCCATCATTACAGTTTTATTGAGGATCTCCGAAGCAAAGACCCAATATGTGGTTGTATTTTGCATCCACATAAAATTAGGAGTCTTGTTATCTTAAAGTATTGTCATTCACATACTAGAAAAGCCCTTTTTACCTGCTACAGCTTTATGAGGCTAGTCTCACCACTTTGCATTTTGCTGGCCCATGCTGGCTTTCACCATTTCCCTTTGCTTCTCCTCTACATGAGGATTTTTGATTTAGGAACCCACTTCCTGTTGACTTTCAAAGAAAAATCCTCTTGCATATGTAAAATTTCTGCTATAGCTAGTTCACTATCAGGAACAGGGAGAGGAAAATATATATGCAGCCATGGAAATCACTTGCTCTTATACCAGTATAAAAATTGTAGTCCTATTCCTAATATATTGTGGAGTGACGAAATAGGAAAAATAACTTGCAAAGTGAAAGAAGTACTTCCAAGAGGAATCACATCTGGGAATTCAGACATACCTGGAGAAACAGTGAGTTTGGTTCCAGCTCCAAACGTAAGTTTGCCATAACTCACAGTATTACACTGTGACACTATGCTTTGCAAAATGGTGCATTGGTATGCACATGTGCAGGATTAAGACTTGAGAACATGGCAATGAAAGATTCTTATTGGAATAATCTCACCAGTGTTACTGGCCACCTCCTCAGCACATATAGTGAAACAAACATTTCCTTCAGCCACATTCCTCTCCACATTCCTGACATTCACTAGTCTAGCTATTGTCCACCACCTAGTTAGTTATCTGTTTATTCTTTCCTCTGTCTCCACACAACAGCAGCACCTCCAATCAGTGTGTGCATATACAACTTTACAGACAGTATTTAGAAGCTTTCTGACTGCTACTGTTGGGTCTCACCAGTCTGTGTTACCTTTCTGCTCTGTTCTCTTGCAATGTACACCCTCCTTTGCAGGCTGCACTTCATGTTGTATTAATTAATACTTGCTGGGTTCCACTCCGGGGGGGGGGACAGGGGAGGAGGGACGACGACACTACCAAGCATGAGCTTGTATCATGCCCCAAAGTCTGCACAGTGGTTCAGCACACAGCAGAAATTTCCCTTCCATCCTCTCCAGAACTAGGTCTTCCACAGCAGCTGAGGTTGAGCAGTGATGTTTATACAGCTACACACGCAAGCAAGCACTCTGCAAAGTGCAGTATATAGTCAATTTTGCATTATCCAAAGCCACAGAGAACCTGAGTTGCCCTAGATAGCAGAAGAACCAGAATAGCATCATTATTGTGAGAAAGACTGAGATGAATAATGCAAAAACATCAAATATCAGAACCTGAATTCAGGCCAAACATCCACAGAAGTTTGCCTCTGAGCTAGTAAATGGAAAAACAACAACAACAAAAACCCCACCAAAAAACCCCCACAACCAAACCACAAAAAGAAACCAGTTGGAACCAAACTTGGGTAATTTAGCCAGGAGTGTCCAAATGCATCCTCCCAGTTTGCACAACTAGAAAGTTTTGCATGATAAAAACTGGCTTAGCATGCTGGAAACTCTGTAAACCAAGCAATACATAACTGGAAAAATGCATTCACACAAAAACAGAGATTGGGGCACAGTGCATAAAAACCTCACTGACTGGTTATGTCAAGCCCAACGTCCTTCATTAAAGTTGACCCATAAAAGACCCCTGTCCCTGAAGAGCTGGTAAATTAAATGGAGAATGAGATCTTAGTTAATTCATTAGTTAATGAGCAAACAAAGTCCAAGCACCAGTGACACCTCTCTCCCATTCTTTCTTGCAAAACCTAGGCTGCAATTCAGTTTGCTCTCCATCCCAAACAGAAAATGGGATTTAATTACTGAGAAAGCAGAGATAATATCTAAGCCACAGGTGAAGTATCTACAATTCCTTTCACTCTCTTCCAATGGGGGAAAAATTTGTTTTGGCAGTCTTCTAAGAGCATTTTACTTTTCTTAACTATTTTTTCTTTTTTTGAAAGTCAAAAATCTCCTGAAGAATCTACAATTCTGGCTGAAAATTTACTTGAGATTTAATTATTGAAGTAGTGAAAAAGTTTACTTGGTGTTTCTGATTCAAATGCTCAGGAAAGTTTCTTAGGTGTGAGTATATACTCACAGTTTTCAGAGGAAAGAATTTTTTTTGTTTCATTCAGTGTTGTTGCATTGTATATCTCCAAATCCAAGCAGCTATTGGGAAATCCTCCCCTTGTTTATAGTTAGGGCCCAGTTTTCTTATTCATAATTTTATTCCCTTCATTTGAAGGGAAGAAATAAACTGCCGAGTTTTCTGTGAATATTTTTCAAACTGGACTGTACCTAACCTGTAGTTAAGCATTTACCTAACTTGCAAAGTTCACATACCTGGAGAAAGAAGAAGGTTAGCTCCTACTCTAAACATGAATTTATTAAACTTCTGGAAGGAAAACCATGACACAAAGCTTGCTTAGACAATGCTGCAATAATGAAACTACTCACAGTGGGAAAATAAGTTGCATGCACCTACATATGTTGCCAGTTTTTAAGTGTTCTCTCACAGGAAATCTCCACAGCTTGTGTAATTTATATCACCACTCTGCAGACCATCTCTCCTGTTCTACAATATCCAGCAGATATTATAGTACCCAAGAGATGACTGTTATTACTTTTTGTCAACAGCCTGCTTCTGAACTGCATTTTGCTACTCTCTCAGCAAATATTAACCTTGGGTTTGGGTGGACTGAATTTTTCCACTGAACAGCTCGATATCCCAAATCTCAGAAATCTTACTTGGTTTTACCATGAGCCTGGTTCCATGTCCAAACATAAGTTGGTAGGTATTCATAGACACTGTGTCGTTTGCCACAGCAAAAAACTTTGCACACTCCTATCCACCCTGATCCACCTGAATAACACTCAAGGAAATCCTTCAATTTCTCCACGCGCAAGCTTGCAATGCATTACATCTTACCTTCATTGCTTATTCTTCTTCCCCATACTACACTCTCATTAACACCATAAGGAAGAGCCGCAAGGCAATTTCCTTTCCACCTCCATCCTTGACAAATCCAAACCTGCATCACCCACTAAAGACAATTAGCTCTTTTTCACATCTCTGTTCTTGTATTTCACTTACTTGTTTTCACTTTTCACTTGCTTCCTTTCCCCAGGATAGATGCTTTTCTGGTGCATATTGGTTAAATAGGAAGTCTAACACTTCTTTCCAGGGAATACTAAAAGCATCCCAAATTGCTCCACAGAGCCACTACACTGTTAGTTTTAAAGCTACAGTACAGTCTCGTCTATATTGATTCCATCTTGATTCAGAGACAGCTCACCTGAGGCAATGAGAAGTTTAGTTCCACTCCCCCATGTGAGTTTTCCCCATCCTCCAGAACTAGCACTGTGTGACAGGTCTTTGCAAAATGGGCTTCTTCATTGAGCCACCTCAGTGGGAGTTGGAGGGCTTGGATACATTCAGTCATGGTTCTGCCTCTGAGAGAAGCTAAAAATACCCATACAGATTTCCACAGACCTCCTACAGCCTCTCTCTGACAAATAACTTTTTCCATGTTCAAATGCCTGGCAATAACTAGATTTGATTACAGTCACCTCAGGTACCAGAGATTGGAAAAATCTACTCCTTACTACGGAACACTTTATGATCCCTGCCCCAAAGCCTTGTTGTACTGCAATGGCAAAAAGGCATGGGAAGAACAACATGAACACAGTCTAACGTCAGAGTAACTGATGCAGTCCACTTTCGGTCCAGATTTCTACCTACAGGTGGGGTTTTTTTACGCTGGAAATA